ACTAGGCCATGTGGAGGGGGGCCACTGCAGGGTTCCAGAGAGCCATGGGGCTCCTATTCATTGGCTGCCAGTGGGGTCCACAGAAGTGACTGGAATGCAGAAGGGTTTGGAGAGGGCTCTGCAGGCCCTATTGACAATGGGGGGTTGGCGATGAATGTGAGAGGGGCTGGCTATAGCAGGCCCACAAAGAGGCCTGGGTGTCTCTTAGGTTGGTAGAGAGCTGGAAGGGTGTGTCCCTGTTGAGTCAGGTCTGGGGGGCCTGTTGGACATGCCACCCCCATGAAGGTGGAAGTCTCAGGGGTCACAAAAATCATTCTGTTTCCAGAAACCTTCAGCCAGTGCCCCCACAGAGACAATGGCAGTCCCAAGTGGCAGCTCCCTCATGTTCCTGCCACTGGCCTTAGCACATGCCTCCCCAGGCAGCTGGCTGTCATAGGGCAGAGGAATGTGCCCACCTTTGGCTCCTGGCCTTGCTCTCTTCACCTTCTGCCCTCCCTACAGCAGTGGTCATTTCCCAAAAGTGTCACCAGCTCACCATGTTCTCTCCCTCCCACCCCTGCTCTCTGGACAAGCAGTTTTTGAGAGTTGCACACACCCCTCCAGTTCTCACTTCTTCACCTGGTTCTCCTGGCACTGCCCACAGTGCTTCCTTCAAGCAGCTTCACCCAGGTCACTGCTGCAGCCACTGTCCTCTTTTGTGGACATCACACCCCCACTCTGTCCTCTTGCTGTCTACTTCATGGGATCCTCTTCTTGTGTCTCTGAAACATTCTCTGTCCTGGATCTCTGGATGGCCTCAGCTCTTTTTTTTTTTTTTTTTTTTTAGGGGGATACCAGGGATTGAACTCAGGGGCACTCGGCCACTGAGCCACATCCCCAGCCCATTCTGTATTTTTTTTTTAGAGACTGGGTCTTACTAAGTTGCTTAGTGCCTCATTTTTACTGAGACTGGCTTTAAACTCGTGATCCTCTTGCCTCAGCCTCCCAAGTCGCTGGGATTACAGGCAAGTGTCACCATACCCAGCTGGCCACAACTCTTTCATCCCATCTGTGGGTCACTTCCTTAAAATCTTTTTGTCTCCAGACAGGATTTAGTTCCAGGCTGAGCCAAAAAAGACCCAAGTTAGAGTCCTCTGATGAGCAATGTGACCCTGCTATCTCTACCCTCCCCCTAGCCTAAGCACAAGGGACAAGGCACACCTCTTGAGGCTCCTCCTGCTAGAGGGGTGGAGATGCTGCCCCTCCCTCACCTACAGGCACAATCTGGCTCAGGCCAGAATTGCTTTTCTTCCTAAAGCTGACCGGATGACTGCAGGCTTAGCTTAACCGGATGAGCCATCTGGTGACTCCAGTGTCTGAGATCACATCAGGGAGCCTGGGATTGAGCATGGCACACCTGATTTTCCCAGACAGGACAATAACCACTCCTTCCTTCCCCACCCACTCTCAGTGTAGTCTTGGCCCTAGGAAAATTCACAACAACCTTGCCTTTACTGGGGAGGCCTGCAGGTCCCTGTGGACAGGAGCACAGGCATGGGGAGCTGGGTCCTCCAAGCAGAGGCCTTTGGGGGAGGGTCTGTGCATGGGCCAGGCACCAGGGGGCAGCCTTATCCTATTCCTGCCCCAATCTGGCAGGTCACACGCCCTTAGCGGCCCACTCCAGGGAGGGGTGGGGTGGCAGGGATCATCATGCAGTCCACCTATCTTGGAGACAAAGTGTACCTTTACTTGTCAAACAGGTTCCTCTTTGCCCACCTTGGAGACTCACAAAAATAGGTTAGCCCAAGTTCAGATCCCACGTCCAGCTTCCAGGGCTATACCCTTGGGGAGGACTGACCGCCCAGCAGCTCACGTGGATGTAGATACACCTCCAGCCCTATCCCTCCAGGCCAGCTGGGAGCCCAGCCCTTCGGAAGTTCAAAGCACCCTAGACCCCTTTTCGGGCAGGGAGTTGGCAAGCTTTAGACTTGGGTATCCAACGCTGTCCAATTCCCAGCTGGGAGCCAGAAAAGGGCTGGAGATGGGGCGATCAGGACCGATCTCCAGCAGGAGGAAAAGACTCCAGTCTGGAAGGAACATAGAGAGGGGAGAGGGAGAGCCAAGGATGGCTGGAAGCGGGCCAGGGGAGC